ACTGTCACAACAGAATTGACTGGTACCACTGTCTCTACAGAAACAAGCACGTCGACCACTGGTGCAGGTAGCACCACAATGACACCAGAGTTCACCGGTAGTACTGTGTCCGGAACAACAAGCACCTCAACCTTTGGTACAGGCACCACACTGACAACAGAATTCACCAGTAGCGCAGTCTCCACAGAAACAAGTACGCCGACCACTGGTACAGGTAGCACCACAATGACACCAGAATTCACGGGTAGTAGTGTGTCCCCAACAACAGGCACCTCCACATTTGCTACGGGCACCATACTGACAACAGAGTTCACCGGTATCCCAGTCTCCACAGAAACAAGCACGTCGACCACTGGTACAGGTAGCACCACAATGACAGCAGAATTGACCGGTAGTAGTGTGTCCACAATAACAAGCACATCAACATTGGGTACAGGCACCACTCTGACAACAGAATTCACCGGTAGCACATTGTCTACAATAACTACTGCATCGTCAAGTGATACTAGCTCCAGATACATTACGTCTGTGTTCACTGGTGTGACAATGTCCACAATATCTACTACATTGTCAACTGGTACTGGCACCACAACCATCACATCAGAGTTCACAGGCAGTACAACGTCTACAGGAACAACTGAGTCAGTCGTGAGTACTGGCACTCCGACTAGTACTGCAGAAATTACAGGTAGCACAATATCTATGACTGCAGTGACAGAATGGATCGGTAATGGGTCCACTATTATGACATCTGAGGTCTCAGGGTCCGGAGTGTCTACACCTACTGGTGTAGTTTCATTCGGTACGGGATCTATCAGTAGTTTAGCCCTAAACACGCTAGAGGCGACTTCAGCGGCAATCGTGACTGTGTCGGCAAATACAAACATCGCTTCTGGGCCAATAACAATGACGAGTTTAAATTTTAGTAGTACAACGTTCATGACTAGTGGTTCTATTACTCCATCTACGTCAACAACTACTGCATCGACTTCTACGACTTCAGCTGTACTGAGTGGTAAGTTATTTGTGTGTTTGCGGTGTTATGGGCGACGAAATGTTGTAGATTGTTCATACAGAGAATAATAGATTGATGTGTTTTGGTAATGCGGAAGTTAAGATAGTCTCAAAAATCCTTCTTTTTCATTCGCAGACTGTAGTGTCACGTATAGAATTGTATCGGATTGCGTTATCGATGGGAATGATTCCAGTGTTTGCAATGATTCTACTCGGGGAACGCAGAATGTCGAAAGAACTGTTGCTTGCAATAATGGTACTGTTAACGTTGAGACTCTTTCTGTGAGTTGTGTTCCAACTTGCCCAGGTAGGTGTCACGAAGCATTTGTAAAGTAGTTCTTGTGTCATGTGTTACGCTGCTATGTATTTACAGTGAGTGAAGTGGTTTTCAATTCCTCTCCGACAGCAATCAATCTCAACATGCGTGTAACGCCGGTACCTCTACCCTTTTCTTACCAATATACCAACGATGCACAAAGCCACAAAGTTCTCTGGGTAAGAATAATCATGATTTGACTTAGCATTAATTGTTTCTTTTTGTATCCAGGTGACAGATAAAGGCTATATAACGTTGGATAAACCTTTGTATGCTATCGAGCCGTCTCAAAACGAGTTACCAGATATTCCATATATCGCACCGTTTTGGACAAATCTCGTCTATGTTAACCGTACAATTATTCGGGTAAGCGATAATAGTTCATAATCGTATGCTTTACCCCTATTATAATAAATTCATTTTATTAGCCAACCATTTATACCGGATTGTCTAATGGCACAGCTGAATGGACGAAAGTATTAGACACTGTTACTGCAGTGAAGGAAAATGCGATTAATGAGGAAGCAGCGGTGTATCGTGTAGTGAAAATACGATGGGAAAATCTATTGACGAAGATGGATGGTGCTACTACTGGAAAAATAGCATCAGACTTTGAAGTATGAAGCGAAACACATTTTTTTATTTCATTTAAAACTCTTTTTATCATAGAATATTGTATTCGACGCATATCTGATGAATGGACCTGGACGGGGCTTCACTGTATGGAATTCGTTTCTTCGATTTGAATACAGTATCAATACATCCATTTCAAGCCCGAATTATCAACCGGTGGTGATCGGTAAGGCTACTAGAATTACAAATCTGTTTTTTTTCAACAGTTTTCTTTTGGCGAAAGGTTATCATACTGAAAGTTCAACATCGCATAGGTCTAGTGTTTCATTCACAAATAAGATTACTGATTTTATCGACAGTAATGTTTTTTTTTGTTGTTGTTAAATGATAATAAAAGTTCTTTTCTAGTTACTGGTAAGATACGAACTTATTTCCTAAGTTCGAAGTTGTTGAGTACATGTGAAGTATGGTATTGGAAAAAGTATACAGATATTTTGTTCAAACGGTCAAGAAATCTTACGTATGATTGTTTTGTTTCGAAAATAATTTAATAATCTCATATTTAATTTTAGAACTGTCAAACGGAACCCATGTCCTTGTTCATTCTATCAAGCTTCATCAGATTTTCGATTTTATAAATTAAATAGTGAAAATCGTTTAGAAAAAACTTATAATATATCATGTTTTGTTCCATTAAGCGGTTTTGCACAACGAACCTCAGATGCGATATCCTATCAACAAGTAAATAGATTTGATAAAAAAAAGAGGTTGACTTCATTTAATATTTTATTTAGACATGCTGTTTTGATACCAACGAAGGATCTCTAATTACATCTGGTCCGTTTGCTGGATCTGTTCTTGATGCGTCAGCAATAGAATCATTACGATATTACAGAAATCGACCACAACGTATCAAAGAACGGTAAAAAAATCTAGTCTTTTTTTGTTATTCGTATTGCATTACATTTTCTATAATGTATATCATTTTAGGGATGATTGTTGTATAGCAAAAAATGGTACAGTTGATTGGTCTAACTGGTGTAATTTATATTATGAAATTAGACCGCCGAGTACATGTGATGGTTATGAACCACCGTCACAAGGTAAACTCTTATATTAATTCTATTTTAAACTTAATCTAAATTATTTCAGCTTGGTTCGGTGGTGATCCACATATACTAACATCAAGTAATAGTGATTATAGTTGCAATGTATTTGGTTCGTTTATATATGCTGAAACAACGAATGATGCAAATAATACAGCAAATAATATTTCTAATACGGGCACTAGTTCAACATTTCTAAAATCTTTAGTAAGTAATGAATTATTTTCAATTATTGCCCGAACAAGTAAAACTTCATCACGTTTACGAATCGATCAATTTTTTAATCAATATATAACTTATTTTTCATCATTTTCAATGTATCTTGGATCAAATCGTGATGTAATAATTGATGTTGATATTAATCAAACAAATAGTTATCAATTCAGTAAGAAATATTTTATAATAAATCATTCAATTAACTATGATTATCTTTCTTATTGCTTAAAAAAATTATTTAGAAGTAAATTATTTACTTAAAAATGAAAATATACCAACAAATCCATTTAAATTATCCAATGATTTTGTTGAATATTACTATTATCCAGCATCATTAAATGATTCATCACAATTTGCATTTTCAATAATTAAAGAAAATCAAACGATAACGGCAATTAATTGGAATACATTTAGTTCAGATAACAAAACTGTACCAGTACAAATTCAAGTACCACAATTAACTATATCGATTTGGTCTGGTAAGTTAAGATTAGAGATGAACAGGGTAGAATGATGCTGTATCTGTCTAGTTGAGATTTTGAATTCTAATAATTTTTTTTTAAATTAATTCTAAACAGGCTTAGCTATGCAATGTTATGTTATAACAAATAATATGGCATGTACATTGTTATTACCAAAAAAATATTATGGTAATGTTCGAGGTCTTGCTTTTGGTGATACTACTAACAATCCAAGTCAATATTGTGCTGATTGTATGTAGTGCTAAGAAAAGAATTAAGATTTTTTTAAATGAAAAATTCATTTTCTGTTTGTTTGTTTGTTATTAAAGATTCACTTATATCAAATGGAACCGAACAACAATCATTAACAAGCAGTAGTGTTTTAGAATGGTTTACTATGAGTGCATCTAGTTTGTATCAAAATTACATAAATAATTGGGCATGTCCAATGAATAAAACATCGTCAACATACAAATTTTGTGTACAAGATACAGTTCTTTCTCAATCACCTCTATTAGGACAATTAACTGTAAGAAGTTCAAATGATTATCAATCAGCTAATCGATTTCTTAGTAATAAAATACATACACATTTGACATATTTATTGGTTTTTCTTGATTCATTCTATTTTTTTTCAGGTGCCAATCCTCCAATGGTAACATTACAATCACCAGTATCATTAAATGCACCATATACATACTTACTAACGATACGACATAACGATACATTTCAAAATCAAACAAATGCAGCTATCAATGTGATAATTGATCGAAATTCATCTATTCCTGTTCAAATACGTGATGGAAACACTAGTGTTCCAAACGATTGTGAAAAGCAAGGTTCATTTTACTCTTGTCCATTTGCATATACAAACGAAAATAGAAATCAAATTCAATTAACGTATGTATCATGAAATTTTCAAAATTTTTCAATATTCTCTTTTCTTCTGAGTATTATTAATAATAATTTTGAAAGTCATGAAACTATACTCAAAATATACTCATCAACACCTATATATGATCTAGGAACGATCGAGACCCACAGCCTGGAATAATACTTTATATGGTTGTGTAAAACTTGGATCGAATATCATATTAGCATGACTTATGCCTTCTAAATAGATATAGGCTGGATGATTCCAGTCTCATTTTCACCAGAGCTGATACTAGACAGCAGATTTCAGGATTTTTTTATGGATTCTATCCTACATTATATCTATAAATGGAAGAAATTAGACTAACGGTAACGACGAGAACGGCACTTAAGGCGAAGGCCAAGATGAGGATGAAAACTGACTCTTCAGAATTATCACTGCCGCTTCGTACACTTATACTGTATTGTTTTTATTAATTGATAAATCCCGCGGTAGTCACTCGTTCATTATTATTTTTCACATCTCTATGAAAAGATTTATTTGAAGTTTTAGAAATATATATGAATAAAATTTTGACCGAATTAAAATGCTCATCATTTAATCAATAAAAATATGATGTATTGTCCTTTTATCTTATGTTAAATCTCATAGTCATAAAGTAAGATTAAACATAGTCTATGAGCCTAAATTTTATTTAATACTTTCGCTTTTTCATATCATTGACTTTATGATATAATTAAGACTGTTTTTTTTGCTATTGTCTCCGAAATACTCGAGAAGTAAACCATTGTATATGCATAGATTCTTGTGAATATTCTCATTTTATGGAAATTAATATTAAAATATTTATTTAAAATTTAAGAGTTATCGCATACGATATATCGAATAATTTAACAACTTATCAAAGAATTCAATTAATTGTAAATGAATGTGTTAATGGTCAAGGGATATGGAATAATCCAACTATTTTATCATCATCAGTTAGCGTTTTATTTTGTATTTGTGATGACTATTCTTCTGGTATGTGATGAATAATGATAAACATAAATAAAAATAAAAAATTCTATTTCATTTTTCATTGTAGGAGAGTATTGCGAGAAACCAGTTGGTTGTAATGATATGACTGCTTGTCTATTAAATTTTCTTCCATATGTGACGTGTACGACTAATAAAACTGAAATATCAATAGATTCTACACAAATACCATTTCAATGTATCAATAATATAACACGTATACCTTGTTCGAATGATTCAGCATGCTGTAAACAAGGTTATCAATTTCATAGCGATGTACAACAATGTTTATGTATGTAGCAAAATTATTCTATTTGAAATTAAAAGTTTTCTTCTTATTTGTTAATTTTTTCTAGTTCAATCAGTTTGTAATGAATCGATATGTGGTGTAAATAATACTTGTCAAAATTCTGAACTAAAACCTAATGGATATATATGTATGTGTAATGATGATCAAATTTTCAATGGAACAACATGTATTCGTATGTATTTCGTTTTTTTCCTTTTTATTGAAAGTTATTCAATAGAAGACATGTTTATTTTTAATAGAAAAGAATATTTGTGATGATGCATCATCATATCCAAATGGTACTTTACCATGTACGGGAGAATTTGAAGAGGGTATTGATTCCGGAAATCAATGTATATGTCAATGTCGGTCAGGTTTCACAAATTCATCAAATCGTTGCATAAGTAGTAAGCTATATAAAATAAAATTAGAAGACAAATAAATTATTGTTCTGTTTTGAATTGAATAGCATCGACAAACATAACATGCAGTAATATGACTAATGTCTGTTATAATACAGCAACATCATCAAATGCTTTCTGCCAATATCGAACACAAACTTACAATAATAGTACTAATCAATGTCAAAGTATAAACTTTAATATTCAACATATTGATTAAAGTTTATATAAATATTTGTTTAAGACACTTTTTGTTTAAACTATTGTCAAAATGGTACTTGTTCAACTAGTGAAAAAGGATATACGTGCAGTTGTCCTCCTGGAACACATCTTGATTATGCATTGAATTGTGCTAGTAAATAAAAAAGATATATACTAATTGAATATATATATATGATAATATTTATTATTTAGCATGTGAAAAGGGAGCAGCTGGTCCTAATTGTTCATTACTATGTGATTGTGAATTTGGAGTATGTAACATTAATGCAACAAGTGAAACTGATAAATGTTCATGCGCACCTGGTTATACAGGTTTAAAATGTGATGAATATGTTAATTATTGTGATCCACGTATTATATCATTAAATTGAATATTTTATTGATTAAATTTTATTTTATTTTTATGTTTTGTTCAGAGAACAATACATGTAATGGAGATATAACAAATCGAATTTGTAAACTTACACCAACTAATCGTGATTCATATAAAGATTTGAAGGCTTACAATTGTATTTGTAAAACGGGCTATTCAGATGTATCAGGAGATGGTAATTGTACAGGTATTAGTTTTTTTTAAATAAAACAAAAAAAAAAGCTGTTCATTGATTTTTTTTATAGATATTGATGAATGTGCTGTGGCCTCTACAAAAGAAAATATTTGTCCAGAGGATACGACATCATGTTTTAATTCAAATGGTTCATATAGTTGTACTTGTACTCAGGGTTATGTAAAAGATAATTCATCAGTAAATGAAAAAAATAATCATTTGAATTTTAGTTATATAAAATATTCATTTTATTTTTATTTTCAAGAGTACTGGTGCATGTGTTGATGAAGATGAATGTACAACTAATCAGTCTGCATGTTCCTTATATACAAATTCCTATTGTGTTAATTTGAGACCATATTTTGAATGTCGTTGTCTTTATGGTTATGCGCCAGATGGTAATAGTCTTGTTTTTTGAAAAGCAAAAACATTTCATTATTTCTTTTTTTACAATAACTTTAATTTATTGAAGGTGATTATAATCAAATTTATGCAGCTTTGCGAGGTAATCAAACATGTAAAATTTATAATCAATGTGCTGCGAATCGTATTGATTGTGGTGGTGGAACATGTACTAATAATGCAAATTTTAATGATTCATTACCTTATTGTTATTGTAATAATTCATTAATACTTATTCAACTATCAGCAGGAAAATATGATTGTATATGTCCATCTAATACACATTATTATAATGGAGGTATATGTACAAGACGACCTAATCCAGAACTAGGTAATATATTATTTGATAGACTTATTTTCTTTTCTACATTGATATAAAATATTTTGAATAAAAAAGGTCTTGTTGGAGAATCAACATTTCTTATTCGAGTCGATTGTAATAATAGAACTGCTATAATCGATGAAGTATGTTTGTTTTTCTTTTTTATGCTTTAATATTTTCGTATTATATAATTTTTAAAATAGATAATAAGAAGATTTAATGAAACATTCAAATCGCCATACAACATTACAATTCGAAACAATACGGCAAAGTATGTATAAGCATATATAAAAAAAAACAAAAAAATTGAATAATATAAAAAAAAATATTTATTTTTAATTCAGTTGTGATGAAGCGGGTCGACAAGATTTACTATTTGATATTCAAACTGATGATAATATAACATTACAAAATGATGTATTCGAAATACTAGAAAATATAACAACGAATCTTAATCTTGCTCTTTATACTGTTGGTAAATGTAACAATAAAACAGGTAAATAATCATTTTGTATTTTCATAGATCTTATTTTTATGAAATAAGTGTTTGCTCCAAGCGATTCTAATATAATTTATAACTTCCTTGAGTTTTACAACAATATCACTTTTATACACAGATCATAATCTATATATTCAAGAATGTTTTTGACTTTCGAATTTTTTTTTTCACTTAAATTTATATCGGTAAAATTTTGCTTGATAATTATTTTTGTTTTTATATTTAGAATTAGTGAAAAATGTTACATCATGTTATCTAATTGATCTATGTGATTTATGTGGCGGAGATATAAAACGTGGTGCATGTTTACCAGAAACTGGTTTAAGTAAATGTCACTGTTTTTATAATCCTGATTCATCAAGACCATACACGGGCGACTTTTGTTATCCGACAGAACCTACATTAACTTCATCTTCATCTTCACGTTGGATACCAATTCTTGTTGGTGTTTTAGCTGGTCTCGCTGGTTTATTTTGTGCTATTACATGTTGTCTATTGGCTTTAGCTGCTTGGCGTCGTCGAAGACGACATCCACATGACGAGTAAGTTTAGTTTTATTTTTTAATAAATTCATATGAAAACAATGAATAATTAAATAGAGATGGATTACGAATTCGTCGTATTTGGCATTTACCAAGAGCACAAGTACCAGCAACTGTTACAGCTGAAAATGTTCAAACATATTTAAGTAGTACTGCATCTTCTACAAATACAGCATCTAGTGTACCTGATGATTCTACATTAAGTAGCGATCGTTCAACATATCGAACAACTTATGATTATGATGCAAATGGAACTGTAAATAGTGCATTTTTTAAACAACTTGATCAAAATATGGGTGCAAAATTACGTGCAACAATAACAAGACCTGATACAAGTGCTGTATTATCAAGTTTACCAACTTTAACAACAACACAATCATTATCATCATCAACATCAATAACATCAAATAGTGATGATCCAATTGATGAACTTGATGCGATTATTGATGATGAAGATCTAACAATGACATTTCATGATCCATTAGATGATCTTTTTCAAAATAATGAAATGCTTGAAGTTATTAATCCAAATTTAAAATTACCACGTCCGCAAATTGATTCAAAACCAACAGGTCTCTTTTCGGTAAGATATCTTATTTTTGTTGATATATTTTTGTATTATTCATCATTATCTATTATTTAATTTGTTTCTTTTTTAGTTTTTTTAACTGATATTGATAAAGTGCGGGTCGCTTGAAAAACAAAGTGCTTATTGTTTATTGATTTTTTTTTATTTGGTGATATTTTTCACTGGTGATCTTCTTTTGATTTTATTCATAAGCACATCTATCTGTTGTGTTTTGTTTTATTGTCTTACTAATCCCTGTGAATGTAACACTTGTCCTTTATTTTGGCTTCTTTTTTTGGTTGTAATTTCTTTGTTTACTATTGTAAAAAAAACAAAGCACAAGAGAACATAAATCAAATAAATAATCATTTATTATTAAGAAAATAATAAAAATCATTCCATTTTAATATATTGTTTAATTCATCTATTATTATTTTATCATTATTGGCAATATGCTCAAAATTACGAATAGTTTCAGAAAAATTTCGTACATATTCAAATATTATAAGTTGACTATAACCTGTATAAAAAGTACCACCAAACAAAATTCATATTGTTCTTATATCAGATTTTGATTTCCAAAGAATACGAGCTACAGATAAATTTCGTAAAGGATATAATGAGTCAATATCATTAACTTCATTGGCTAATCAACGAAATCTATTATCCATATCAAAATGTGATACATTAATAGTTGAGCTAGCGTCGGAATCAAATATAAATCTTACAGAATCTTCTTTACCACCAATACTTAATGGATGAATTTCACATGATGATTCAATTTTGTTTTCAAATGATATGTATGATCTTTCATAAATGAAAACCCACCTTCATTTAAATCAACAGTCATAACTTTAAGAGTTTGAACAAGCATTGCAGTTGTCTAATCACCTTAAACATCAAAGTCACAACCATCTTTCATTACTCGTTGTACAACTATTCAGATTAATTATTGTCTTAAAAAGAACAACAAAATAATATGTACTACAAATGTATCAGTAAAATCTTTTATAGTTTCTTTTTTTAATTCTTTAACTATTCTGTATTGCTGTTCATATTTTTGATATATTTTATCAATATCATTGTCAGTGAGGGTGTGGAATTTTGATTTTCAAATCAACAATACCATGTGTATTGGCTCAATAAACAAATTTAAGTTCAGCTTCAATTTTATCACTTTCAATGACAGATACATAATCCATATTATCACCAAATTGTGTAAATCGTGCATGTACGGAATTAAAGGCGAGATTGTTTTCTACAAAATGATTTAAAAATCAAGAATTTCAGAGTAATCATTCAGGAATTACCGAGCTCAACGTGTCAGTCTGTTCTCCATAAAAATCAAGAAAATTGCCTAAATTGACATAAGGTCTCTTAACTAAATACTTACTGTTGACAAATGACTTGAAGCAAACTAATCATTATTATACCATTTTATAGAAAAATGTTTGATCTTTTATTTATTTTATTTGAAGTAATTTCCCCTTCTACTTTGGATAAGTTTTGGCGTGCTAAAAAAGTTTTGATGTTGATTCAATATTGTCAGATTTTAATAATCAGTCATATCATAAGAAGTTATCGATAATGTCAAAGAGTCTATGTTGAAAGAAAGAAATTGAACAATGCATGGTTGATTAATAATACTTGAAAGTTTTCAATATCGATCATTTTAGCAAATTTATTGCCTTTATTAAGTTTATTCGGACAAACGAAATTAGTCTCAAGATAAAAAAAAAACAAATCATCTTTAACAATCATCAATCTCTCAATATAAATGAATAAATTTTGTTTTTGTTTCAGACCTATAAGTTCATCATGTTTTTAGTGTATATATATTTTACCATAAAGAATAATATCACTAGTGGTCCAGCAGTTTCAGGTCGAATAGTTTTGAAAGAACTATTCAATAGCTTCAATTGATTCAACTATCGCCTTTGTTTAAAAACATCATAAAAATGCAAAATCTTGATCCAGAAAAAGATTTATGAAATAAAGGACTTCTCTTGTAAATCGATGAACAAATCTTTTGAGCTGGGACCCTAGTGAGGTATGAAAGATCTCAAAAGGATAAATTTCCTTACACCTTCCATCCAAAGTTATAGGCATTTCAGTGAAATTTTAGTCAAGGGCATGATATATACCTAGAAATCAAATGACTATATTCCGATCTGAAATTTTGCTTACAAACAGATCTATTTATTAGTAGAATGTTCTGAAAATTTCAGTCGAAAGAAGTTTTCATTCCCGATATATTAAAGTTCCAAAAAATACTCATGTTCTACAAAAGAGGCTATTTTTTTCTCGTTTTTCGAACTTTACTATCTCCAGAATGAAACATTCTTTTATACTAAAAGTGTCAGAGTATTCTACTCACAAATCGACTTGTCTGTGAACACAAGCTCCAGTCGAAATGTCATCATTCGATTGGTTGGTATATATCTTGTCATTGGCAGAAACTCCAGTAAAATGCATATAACTCTGAACAGAAGGCTTAAGAAGTTTTTTCATATTTTACTGGTGTTTACCTTATGCATGAAGTCCGAATTTAAAAGCGATTTAATCAGTTGAAAACATTTCTTGGTAACCTAGTGATCAGCTGATTTGAAAGAAATTGGAAGTGATTCTAATTTTTTGTTTTTGCGAACATTTTCATCCATTGATGAATTTGAACTGTCATACCTCTAAATACAATTCAAGATTAGCATATTCATCATTATCATAATACTTGAATGATTCTAATAACTTGTAATAACTTTTCAATTAATTTTCATACGTAAGCATACGTCTAGATTCTTTATTTGCATGAGTACTTTGATATGAGTTCATAAAGTTCATCTCAATTGTTTTCCACTATACATTTTGATTAAATTGTGTATATAAATGAAAAAACGATTTTTGAAGAATTTTTAAACTATTGATCCACATTTTTTGCTGATGAAAATGCATGCATTCAAAGTATCAGATGTATATCTCATTTATCAACCCTTGTCATATGATATAGGTATTTGTTGGTTTTGATCAGATGTTGAAGGTATTTGTGATGAATGTTCATCAACTTAGTTTAATACTGATATATCATCAAGAGTCTGTGAATCTGTTACAAGTCAAAATTGAAACTTTTTAAAATCTGGTAATATAATCTCGTTTTCCTGCATATACACAATGGTGTGTTCGAAAGAAAATAGAAAAAAACTTTTTTCTATGCAAGTTCTTCTTGATGTAATCAGATGGAATGAGAAGATAAGGTTATATGAACTGCTAGATTATTTTAATAGTTATCAGAAAAAGAAAACATGTTATTTTCGATTTTTTATTATAAGACGAAATCATCTTTCGTTCTATTGAAATGAAAGCTGTATTTTTCAATTATTTTTATCATGTTGATAGTTGAAAATATTATCGATGCTTTTTTTCGGAGTAGTAAATTTTATTTTTGAAACTTCTATTTTTGTTTTCAACGAATAAAATTCATAATAATACAAGTTTCGTTTTGATTACACCTGGTAAAAAAAACGTGTTTAGATTAGTCGTCTCAGAAAACACTGTACATTGATCAAAGTGTCAATTTTTTTTTCAATCTAAGTAAGAAATTGTGTGGAATGCAGCCGAATAAAGATCAATACATTGACAACTTTGTATTGAATATGACGTTGAATAGTTCATCTATTATTGTAAGTGTAGAGAATAAAACGAAAACAAATTGTTCGCTAAATATAAATAAAATGAAAGTATATCAGTTTGAAAACAATCGACTAAACATTCATCGATTAATATTATTTTCATAGATTTAAAATTATAAGTTTGACTTCTGAAAAACAAGCTTTTTGTTTTATTTTTCATATCGAATTCTCCATACATAATATTGACTTATTTAACATCAGATAAAAGACAAAAAAGACTTTTAATAGTATTGAAAAAGAGTATTATATTTCTTTAAATACAATTATTATTGTTAAATCTATAAATGAATTATCATTGCAATCATTTTTTTTCTTACCATTATTTGTGGTTTATGCATAAAAATTTAATTTTCTGTTACAATCTATCACAACCGAAAGGAAACATAAATATGTCAATGTTGAATATAATCTACTTCGTTTTAACCAAAAGAATTTTTATCTGTAATCATAAATGACAACAGTTTATGCATTTGAGTATATATGTATATACGCATGTATAGTCAATTGTTTTCCAATTTGCAAATCTAATGAATCAAACTCAAACACCTGATTCCGATTGTTGGTTGCTTTTATCACATATTGAGAGAGTTGAAAAATCGACTTTTTTTGCGTCAGACGGATC